AAGGAGATTGAATTTCCTTGGTGATGGTCTCTCCTGGTGCTGCGGAGTAGCGACGCAGCATAAGCTAGATTCATTGGTTACGGATGAGCAAAGTCTACAGAAAAGTCTTGCAAACCTCACAAATGTGGTCTCCCACACAATCAAATCAACTGCAGAGAATTCGGAGTCTTTTAGGAAATTGATTGAAGGGGTTTTCACCTCGTTCAAGATCCTGGAGAGCCACATAAAAACCATCAAGAAGACCTTTAGTACGTATAAGGAAGGGTTAAAGGAGTACATGAGTGGGCGGGAGGATTTTTTTTTAGAAATACAGGAAACTCAATTTAGGAATATAAAAAATATTGTTACGCAGCACCCTGCAGCGTGCTGCGGTCGTTATAAGTAAAGGTACAAGTAAATGAAGAAGATAGAATAGTCCAAAAATGTCTCAAATATATAATTCCTTTTCAAAGAAAAATCCGGATTGTTTGAGAAGGTTCTAGAAGGTCGACGACCTGAGGTCAGAGATCAGTTTTATGATAGACGTTATACATTAATGTTAGCAGTTGTGCTGTTATTGTAAAAGTTGAGTTAAAATAAATTGAGATACCAAAAACCTGTGTAACAATATTATTTACCTTTCTAGGGCTGTCAAGTGACAGACAATCCTTTTTTATTGTAGCTTCCATCAAATCCCGATCAGTGTCCTAGACTCATCAGTACTGGCCAAGAATCTTCAGATGCTCAGGGAGGAGTTGCTAGTCTCGAACCAGCATCTGGCTCTAGGCTTATCGGATTTGTCGCACTATTATCAAGTGCCGATTTGTGATTGCAGCTTTTCAGAGGAGAAGATTTTTGTTCATATCAGAGTGCCCATCCGGCAAAGGTAATTGGTGGAATTCATCACAACGCCGTTTGCTTGGGAGAACTTCACGTGTAAGATCCACCAGCAAACAACCATTTTTCTTGCAATTTCTAATGCTTCATCACTAGTGCATCTCAGAGTTGGGTCGGATACAGGAAAAAAGTATCCGAGTACCGGATACGGATACTTACAATGTATCCGGATACTTTTTAGGATACTTTCACCTAAAAAGTACTCGGATACAAGTATCCGGATACTTTTAAAGGATACTTTTACGGATACTTTTAAAGTGAATTAAAATAATGTTTTCATATCAATATTTATAATTTTTGCTCAGAATTTTAATTTGTTTTATAGAGGTTACAAGTTTATTATTAATAATGTAATTTCTGGAATATAAAACAGCAAGCGCCTAAGTGAGTGAACACTTGTATTGCGCTATTATGCAATAAGATTGTTTACGAGTAACAATAAACAATACTAGGCATAAATAAATTATCGAAAATAGAAAATAATATAACAAAAACAGGAAAAAACTACTCAATAAATTGTTTATTATTTTTATTCTGTGAATATAAAACATTAAAACAGAATGAAAAATAAAACATACAGGTGCGTGTAAATAAAACGAGTCGCGCCAAAAACCAGCCAGTGGCGTGTCCATATAATTCTAAAGAAATAAGCTCGTTGATGGCGCGACTTGCCATGTTTACACAACCTTTCGATATTCTCGTCAATGTCAGATGTATTCGACAATCCATTTTTTGTGGATCTTCCGACGAGCGGTACTTGGTAGATTCGAAAGAAAGAGGAGTGAGAGATTGCTGAATGTTTCATTCTGGTATAGGCAAAGCAGGCTCGTATATTTGATCTTGTCAGATCTGTATACTTTGTTGATGACATAAATAATACATGATCAGCAGGGGCGGCTTGTAACCAAAATTTTTTGGGTTCACAGTAACATAATATAGATCCCGGTACAGATATAAGTAAAAAACTGTCAGTGTTTTAGAAAGGTATATTATAAACTTTCTAAAACACTGAAAGTTTTTTCATACATCTGTACTGATACCTATATTCTGTCTGTGAACTACCCCACGAGCCGCCACTGATGATCAGTAATATTATGAGCAACAACGTCATACATGTATGAGGTTATTATAACACATATAATCATTGAGCATATCATTTTACTTATAATATTTTTATTAAATGGAAGTGATACCCCGCTGATTTTATTTATATTTATTTGTCAAGCGATTTAAATGAAATTTTGGAGAGACATTTTAAACCAAATTCTATATTCTCTTTTATTTTTACATTTTTTTTACCTAAACTGATTTTCCGAGATATGTTTTTTAGTTATACCATTTTTTAAAAAACTGTATTTTAAACAAAATAGATACTGAAATTACCTTAACTATCTTTAAATTCCAAATTTCTACTCTTTTTCTATTAAGAGGAATTTATTCTCCTATTCTTTACTTAATTTTTATTTCTCAAGCGATATAAATGTGTTTTGTTTACACATTTTATGGGAAATTCTAAAGGTGCGTCCTCACCGAATCAACACTGTCGATCGACTCTGTCTGTCGACTTTGTGTGTACGCGGCAATCGACGGTGTCGATCGACATGTCGATTTGTTTTCCATCGCCTGTCGGTAAACATGAAAGAACAGTCGATCGACTTTAGTGTGTGGACATGTTTTCGACGTTAGACATTCGACAAACTGTTAATACTAAGTACTGTACTCAGTAACGTCTTGCTCCAGTATAGGAATAGCAGGTCTATAATTGGTGTCTTCTTTACAAATTTTTGGCCCGATTTCTTGTAATAAATATTCAAATTCACTTTCCGACATTCGAAAAAAAAAATCTAAAACCACCATTACATCTGTATTAAAGGCTCAATATGTTGACGTAATTTTTTTTAAATCTTCTATCAAATTACTAGCGTTGTATCTAGTTCTAGTTTGAAGACTTGGTCGAACCCAAAATCTTCTTTTTCGTGCAAGTTTTCTTTTTTTAGTCGCGATAATAATATATGCGGCACAAGCAACTATAATGTTATCTTCGTCAGACATGTTAATTTCGACTGATCGACAAACATTTCTGTCAACTCTGGTGTGGACAGATGCAGTTTTGTAGACTTGTTGATCAACTATGTCGATAGACAGAGTCGATCGACAGTGTTGATTCTGTGAAAAATACGTATTTTATTTCTAATTTACAGGGTAGCTCAAAGTATTATGATTATTAAAGTTGAAGGTGGTAGCCATGTGTGAGTTATATGTTCAAAAAAGAGGTAAATAAAACAAGGGTGGTCCTTAAGATCTCACAAGAGTAATTTAATACGACCGGTTTCGAGGAGATCAGATCCTCATCATCAGGTATGGTCTAAAATAGATAGGTAAAAACGAATGAGCTCATAACTAATAAAGTGGGGTTTAAAAAAATTATGAAAGTTATCAAATATCAAGAACTCACCCGTATTACTCATCTATTTAAGACTAAGCTTAGAGATTATCACAGGGTCGGTGTAAAAAACAAGTATGCGAGTATTTTTTTAAGAAATGCATAAAAACAGTAGTTGCAACAAAAAGTTGATGTCAAAACACAAGTAGGTCTAAAACTATTAATTAAAATTATTAAAATATTTCACGAACGGACAAACATTAAGACAAAACAAATTTAAAACTTTTTTAAACCCTACAAGAACTAAAATGGGCTCTTAGACAACATGAAGTGTTTATAATTCTGAAGGTATAATTTTTTATTTTAGATTAAAGATACTAATTAACGCCTTCTAGATATAAATAGACGAATTAACAATTCTAATATTTAAGAAAAACAGTTTAGAGGTTGTCCGATTTAAATATTTTGACATCGGCTAATAGATGGCGTTGGAGAAATAAATGTTTCTTGTTTGTATTATGATTATGTATTCTAAATGAGATAATATGGATTAGATCAGTTACGATTGTGGTAAATAATTTAAAAGTATCCGAATGCTGAAAAAAGTATCCGGTATCCGGATACTTACAAATTTGGTCACGGATACGGATACCGGATACAAAATTTGAAAAGTATCCGGATACAGTTTTCGGATACACATAAAGTATCCGGATACTACCCAACTCTGGCATCTGCATTAAGTAAAGCAAATATCTGAGGAGGGGTTACAGCACTGTACGCCTTTCCATGATATGTTATGTTTCATTCCTAGGTTTTTAGCTGACACACTCCAAAGACCAGGATGCGCACGAAAGCTGTTTGACGGTGCTACGGTCAACGAGATAAGTCGTCATTTCCCGATGAACTGCTACAGGTCGTCATCTGCAATCATCACCGAGGAAGAGGTGTTTATGATAACTCACAAAAAATCGTCAGACAAAAACAGAGAGATGCATGGAGATCCTACTGCAAAGAAATCGAAGATTTACCGCAGGCAGCGAGGCTTCAAAAAGCTCTCTCAAAAGATCCACACCGAAGCATTGGTGCGCCAACCAAATACTTTTTGGAACTGGCCTTTCTATTGGCCTGACAAAATCGGTAGTAACAGACCTAATCAAAGAACATTCTTTTGTGAAATTCAAGGAAAGATGAGATGAAACAAAAAACTGCAGAGTTGCCAGGAAGCTCTTAAGTTATCCTGACAATACTGCAGCAAACAAATACTTGACTATGACTAAACAGAATCTACGCCTAGTCACAGGCATTCTGACTGGTCATTCACAAGTACGAAAGCATCTCCATATCAAGGGCTGTCAGAATCCGCACTCTGCAGAGGGTGCGAACAAGAAGATGAGACCATCGAGCATATCCTTTACGATTGTTTGACGCTCATTTATTAGAAGATTTGTGTTTGGCGAGTAACGGCTAACACCGGCCAATATAAGAGAAGCACCTCTTGTCGACGTTGTCAACTACATTAAATGTGTAGGCTGGCTCACGAGCTAGGAGGTGCCTATCTTCCTAGGAGGATACACAATGGGCTTAATGAGGCCTAAGTGCCGTGGGGTAACCCACCCTCCAGACATTACAGATACAGAGGAATGTATTTTAAATGTATGTTATTTAATATTTAATTAAACTTATTGTGATTTTTCAATATTTATTAAGACAATTATCACACATAATATCACATTTATTATATTAAAGGCACGTGATTTTTAATACTAACAACGTAATCTTATTAACAAACTTATTTAAAACAAATTTTCTTCAAATTAAAACTTAATAATTAAGTACGACTAAAAGTTACATAATAAATATACACTAAAATACAAAACTATTCTAACTGGTCAATGGTTTACCTAAGTTTAGTTCAATTATGGTGATGTATAAGAACACAATATACAGGGTGATTCACTTCAAGGGCTTAGAACAACAACCACGTAACTAAAAAAAAAAACGATTTTGTCCTCTAACGCTAATGTAACTTATAATACGGCAAATATGTAATTTATTAATAAACTCTGACCATTTTGTATATGCAAAAAACAAACCTAAATTCATTTACTGGCATTATTAATAGACATTTTTGACCAACGATCATTTTTAAGTGCAATTATCTCAAAACTGTCAGAACATTGGTTACGTGGTTGTTGCGCTAAGCCCTCGACTTATTATTTATAACTTATAATTATTTAATGCTGATTAGATATAACCGAGGTGGTACTAAATATTTCCTATGTAATGGGTCTTGGAGTTCTTAGAACCCCTCCCGTTTCCCCCTTAATGTTTAAACATCCAAATACCCTGCATCATATCTTTTTATTTATGGTAAGTAGTTACAATTCTAATTTTCAAGTTCCTGCCTCTAAAAAATCGATACCCCATACAAACTGTCACCTCCTTCCTTTCCCCCTTTTCACCCTTTCTCTTAAAATATGAAAATTCAAAAACCTTAAAGCACACCTTTATTTATTTGTGATGAGGAGCTATAATTCCAATTTTCAAGTTCCTACCTTTTAAAATATCAATTCTTCCATACAAACTTTCAACCCTCATTCCCTCTTAAAGTATGAAAATTCAAAACCTTCAAACACGTCATTATTTATTTATGTTCAGCGGATGTATTTCAAAATTTCATGTTTCACTACCACTATGCAAAAAATCATGCTGATCCCTTGTGAAAAACAGAAACAAATCTATGCAAAGTTTACATTTTCCAGATTATAACCTATCTTTTTGCCAAATTTCATCCAGATCCGTTCAGCCGTTTTGACGTTATTAAGCGACAAACATCCATCCATCCAAATTTTTGCATTTATATATTAGTAGAATGTATGACAGATTTGCGAACTTGTTTTATTATTGATAAATAAATTAGAACCACCTCTATTCTTAAAAAAGTTCTAGTTTTCAAGTTTCTTATTTTATTTATTATAAAGGCACATCTACTTAGTAATTTGGCTTTTACTATCTATTCACAGCCTAGTGTAGGAACAAATTTTCCTAGTATAGCTTTTTTAGATAATACTAGAATCTTTATATCAAAATTTACGCAAACCTATATATAAAAATATTGAATATAACAATTCCAAATGTTATTAAACTAGTATTAACCGATTGGAAAAGTTTTCCAGCTGAATTAGAAGTCGACGTCTCGTTAGAGATGCTTCTCGTTAGATCAGGCAGAAAACTCCCGCATTTGGGGAAATTTTCAGGAACCGGCAACATCTCGTGTTTTTCTCCTACTTGTAGCACCATGGCCATTCCGATTTCTGAATGGAATTCTAAGTGGCAGTGAAGGAACCAGTAACCTAGTAAAAATTTAAATAGTTTAATAAAATACAACTTTTTATTTTTTTGTGGTCGTTGTTAGTTAGGGATTTGTTTCGCAAAATATGTCAGTTGGTAACACTTAGTTACTAACGAACTGTGTGAATGTCAAATGTCAACAAATATCAATAATGCCAACAGTAAAAGATAAAATATCTTTAATGTTATTGGTCGTTTCGAAATGTTCATGTACTTAAAAGAGCTATTGCACTGCTCACAAATGCAATCAAAATGTGTGAATTTCAAGTATTTGGTTTTTATTCTAGACGGCACAATAATGAATATATTTAATTAATTTTTTTTTTGCAAAAAGATAAAGACTTGGACTATCATTCTACAGACGCTTTTGATTAAAATATAAACGGTTCAACCAGAAAAAATCTATAAGTTCAATAAAATTGTTAAAAAGAACCTAACTTTACGAGACAAATTATTATATTAAAAATACATTGTTTTTCAAATACAACGATGTAAATGTAGTATTATCTTTTCTTAAGAGAATAAAACAATAATAATTAAAATTGGATTTGAAATAAAGATGTAATCATATAAATACGGAAAGTTGTTATTCCCAGAAATACCTATAAAACTTAATATTTTGACTCCCTTCTCTTCACAATTGCATTTTCATTGCCGCATCGCTCGGCGTGACTCGTTCTCAATCGACTAGTGCAAAGCACTGCCCGAGACTTGTTTGGCGTATTTCAATTTTTATCAGTGCTGGACTCACCCATCATTAACAATGCCATTAATGGTTCTTTACATTCGTTTAGGTAAAAATAATAATTATTAGGTATATTCCTAAATACCTACACAGTTTGTTAAAAGGAAATATTGTTAATTAGTTAAGAGCTGTTGCACTGTTTAGTATTACAATCGAAATGTGTGAATTTCGAGCAAATTCTTTTAATTCTAGAAGTCACAAAAATAAATATATTTTATTAACTTTTTTTTTTAAACGATGGAACCATCATGTAAACATTTTTAATAAAAAGCTAAAGGGTACTTCATGAATGTTTATTTAAAAAAACTGAAGAAATCTTTATCAAATTTTAATAAGAAATAACAAATCTATCAAGGGCTTGTCCAAACTTAAAATAATATAAGAAAGAAAAAGAGTTACACCACATTTTAAACCGACGATAATAAATTAAAAACAAACTAGTTTTGTTTTATTTTTGAATCCTTTCTTTTGGTTTTTTGTTTTCGATTGCTTCTAAAATATAAGTTATAGTTCCCTAAATGGCATATCCCTCTAACGTGTCTTGGATCTACCAGTTCTGAATTGAACTTTTTTCAGAATCAGATGATGGTAATCCTTTTAGAAAATCGTTTTTCTTTGCCTCAAAAATATTTTCATCCAAATCTGGTTTGCTGCATTTTTGGCCATAGTCGAAATCGGTATTCGTCGCCCGAAACCTTTTTTTTTTTCTTATACTAGATTTAGCTTTTATAGCCCGTAAACGTCGTTGTCTTTCCAATTTATTTGCTACTAGCGATGAGTTACTTCTCAAAGTTTTCTTTAGTTCAGAATTACCACATTTTGAATTGAATGAAACAACTGCAGCAAAACACCTACTTTGGTACGATCGTCCTTTTGAATAATTAACTCTTTTACTCCCTATAAATTTGGCGACAATAGAGTGAAATTGTTCAACAATATTGCTGTCAACATCATATAACAGACTTCTACTTTGGTCTGACAAAGAATGTAATATTTGCTGAAGTCTTATAAAAAATTCGGGACTAGATTTCAATTTAGGTACAACATTGAGAGTGTCATCTGAATTTTTTTTACAAAAATATTCATCGCAATTCGAATGTTGCCCAAATATATGTAGAACAGAATTATCTATATCCTTTTTTAGCAATAAAATATTTTGAGAACTTCCTATATTTATGGTATTGTTTTTTCTATATGCTATTGCCTTTGTAATCGATGTTCTAAATCGAAGAATATTTTGGGACAATAACTTTCTCAATTTTATTGGGAAGCGCGTATCCAGGGAAAGTGTTTTTAATTAAGTTGAAAAATTTCTGAGTAAGTGATTTCTACACTCGATTTTTTCAACAGTTAAATTATCATAGAGTCTATTCTCTAAATTTTTTTTATAAGTGCTCCTATCACCATCAGAAATTAGCTTTGCATATTTAAGGCCGTGCAATTTTTCGCTATGTTTAAACCCTCTAACAAAATAGTGGATTCCATTCCTGTAGAAGTTCCAGTATAGTTTTTATATCATTTATGTTCAATTTGTTAATTGGCTAAACAAATCGAACAAAACTTATTTTTAATTTTAATTTAATTTAATTTTTAATAACACTAACACAATACACCGCGTATCGAATCTTTCAAATTATACTGAGTCCATCCCAAAACAATATTTGTCTATCCGTGTCCTATACGGTAGTTACGGATGCAATTGAATGAATGTCTCTGACAAGGGTTTCTATCTTTTGAGGTGGGAGTATTGGAGGAGATACCTACTGCAAATTTCCCCTGAAACGAAATTCAAGCGTCCAGAGCAATAACTTCTTAATATCAGACAAACGTGAAAATATTATTTTTAAAGCCAGTAAGAACTCGCTAACTGTTTCTCTCTGTGTATTTCGAAGTAGAAGAGACCGAAGGGAAACTTTTGATAGAAATATGAACATTAGCCGAGAAATCAAGAACATAAAAAACTGGAAGAACTGAAAAGGCAGAAATATGCGAGAAAGAAAGAAAAAAAGAAGTATAGCAGGTTTAATTAATAGTATATGTGATTTAATTTTACCTGGATTATTGGCTATGAATCTAACAACGGTATATCCTCCGTCTGGAACCGTTACAGTATCTTTCAATGGAGGATTCTTTAAATTTCTAGTAATTAAACCTTGGGCGTCTCTTTCTTTTACTTCCGCGACGGTAGCATTTTTTCCCAATCTTTCCATTGCGACGACTCTGAAAGCGTATCCGTGAAGATGAAGAGGATGGTTGGCGTCGTATGAGAAACCTTCGTCCAGAAAAACTATTTCGACTACAGCGCCAATTGGTACCTATAAAATATTTTTAACATAATTTTTGGCGAAAAAAAAAATTAATTTACCATTTTTTTAAATTTTTTACTTAAATAGTTCCTAAATTTCCGGTAATATACGCCGACAGTCGAACAGCGGATGTAACTATTGAAATTTTACAGAAAGTTTCTAGATACTTTGAAACATACTGTACATAACAATTTTGGGTCTGCTGACAGTAAAATTTATTTTTTTTTACCTTAAAAATCCTTAAAATTTGTTGTCGAGTCTCCATCATATAACAAATGTGAAATAAACCATTTTGACTGATTTCTTGTTGTAAAAACGGCTAAATATCAATATTAGGCAATTTATAGAGCAATAAACCATACCAAATTTTTTCATAAACGATTAAATTTTCTTATTTTTCATTTTTAGTTTGTTAGAAAAACAAATAGACCAGTGTTGTTAGACCCTGGCAACCGAAAATCCGTAGAATTATCGAGAATATTAGTAAAAAACAAAGATTTTAATACTAAAAAGTAACAAAAATATTCTAAAACACACATTAACTAACATTTTTAAAATATTAAATTTTAATTGTAATTAAAAACAAAATCCATTATATAATTAATATTTGAAAAAAAAACCTAAATAATAATAAAGGGACATTTTTTTACAAAATTTTAATATTAGCAAACTCTATAACAGCAAACTGTAAAACTATCGAATTAGGAATTATCTGCCCTCTCCTTTTGCAGACCCACCTCTTAAATATCAGACTCGATCATGGGATTCTCATAAACAAACTTATCGGTTACGGGTTGTCAGAGTCTGTCATAAAACTGTTCCGTTCATATTTGCAAAATCGTCAACGGTATGTTTTCTTAAACGGTTTTAAGTCTGTAGAATACTTTGTAACGTCTGGGATGTCGCAAGGATCTGTCCTTGGTCCTCTGCTTTTTAATATATTTATTAACGACATCGTGGAGTGCATTGATATAAATTGTCTTTTATATGCGGATGATGTGAAAATTTTCAGTTTAATTTCTTCCAATGCTGACTGCAAACACATGCTTAATAACATAAAATCAGTCCAAAATTGGTGTCGCTTAAACCTTCTCCCTTTAAATGCATCAAAATGTTTTATAATGTCATTTTCATTAAAACAGGATATTATTTTATTCAACTACGAGATAAACAGGTAATTTCTACAAAGACCTGAACATTTTGTCGTGGAAGGAGTAAAGGGAAATATTTCGATAGAATAGATGTCGCGGACAGGATGAAAACATATGTTTAATTAATAATATAATAAGTATTTAATAAAACAGTCTAAAAAATAATATAAAAATTGATTAAATATTGTGCAGCGACCCCTTCGGGGACGCTGACAGGTTGAAAACATATATCCCATTAAAGATATAGTAAATATTTAATGAAACCGTCTTAAAAATAATATAAAAATTGATTAAACACAGTGCAGCGACCCCTATGGGATGTTTTGTCCGGATATCTCTCATCCAAAAAAAATGGCGCCTGACGAAAAATCCGTGTGCGTGGTGAGTTAGAGAGGGGCAAAAGGCGTTCAGAAAAAAATAATAAAAAAATTATTTGTCTTTAATAAACCGTCGAAAAACGATAAAGTAATTTTCAAAACGTCATAAACAAGTGACAAAACGTAGTAGTTTTTCGCGGTTTCCATGGAAACCGCCAAACGGATATTAACGCGAATTTTTTTAAAAAAGCATCTCGTGGGTCTACACCTTTTGGTCAAGTTTCATTAAAATCCATCCATCCGTTTGGACGGTACAATTTTTTTTGTGATTTTGGAAACCCTATTTTACTAAGGACAATTAGATCAATTTCACGAACTTTAACTTGGTCGTGAATTAAGAAAATAAACTGTTTACGAAAAAAATTGGAATGGTTTATTGCTTTATGGATGGTCTAATATTGTTATTTAGCAGTTTCTATAACAAGAAATTAATTAAAATGATGTAGTTCAAATTTTTTCAACATCGACACATTTTAAAGTTTTAAGACAAGAAAAAAATATTTTAAAGCGTTTGCAGGGCAAAAAAAAGTATTTTGAAATGTGGTTTCAGAGGGTCTAAAATGGTCTAAAAAAAACTAGCCCGTTCGATCGTTGGCGGATTTTTTTCAAATTCTTTCAGTCTTCTTCAATTGTTTCGGAAATTTTAAACAGACGATGATATTTCAGTATTTAAAGCTTTCTTAAATTTATTTTGATTTGTAACTTACTTGAATTCCGTGTGGACATGAACAATAGTCTGCTGTACAATTTTTTTCCTTCAAAGTGTCGTTATTACAAAACATATCATCCGGTATTTCATCCCTTTGCGAAAGAAGTGGAAAAGACGGCATTTTATTGGAAATATGATTTAATTGCGGCGTGAGTACCACTTGTAACGGATTCGTAACTGCAATACAAAAAAATAGGTTTTTAGATAATTAGAAAAAAGCTATTAATTCTTATGGACAAATATTGAATACTTACTATCGAAATACCCATAATGAGGTGGTCTATAAAATTCCCTGTTACTAATTTTGTAGAAATCATAGGCGACATAAAATTGAAAATCTGCTACTTCTTTTAACGCTTCGTCCCACGGTAAAAGAGATTCTAAATTTGGCATAGGAATAAACGATTCGTTTCCCTCGGTTCCTATATTTAAAGGATTAATTTGCTAAAAAAATGTATTTATTATTTTCCATCAATTTAAAGATAAACGTATAACTTACAATTCCATCAACATGTGCGTTATCGAAAGTTACCTCTCCTACTGGAAAAGTGTTTAAAAGTGTTTCTTCGTCAGCGTAATCAACGTTATTATTGACATCGTATTGCAAAATGGCTACTTGGAAAGCTTTTGTAAACCTTTCGTCGCAATCCATAAGACCTTTGAAACGTATCCAATACATGCCTTTCGGTTGATCGGCATTTAAGACGAAATCAAAACGTTCACCGGCATAGGTTACAAGAGATGTTGCTAAAAAAATAATTTAAACTTGTATCGAACTGATAATATAAAAAATTACTGATACAAAACATTTCAGAGGTGTGATACTTAACAAACGAGATTTCGTCTAGTTCGCACATGACGTATTATGGTGTGGAATATAAAACTATCTGAGTTTTTGTTTACATTTACAGAATGTACCATACAGACTTAAAAAAGTTTTAAATGCCAAGAATACAAAAAAATGGTATTCTTCATACAGTAGAGTGTAACACACTCTTTGTAAAATCTTAAAATTAATAATATGCCTATGATTTTCTAGTCCAAAAATATAACCATTTAAAATTTCAAGTCAATACGTTAAATAATAACGAACATATTGCGGAAAAACGAAAAATACATTATACAAGGTGATCAACTTATACTCCGAAGTTTGATATCTCCGTTGTTTTGAGAGATACAAACAAAAGTTTTAGTTACAAATTATAGATAAAGTCCAGCTCCACATTTTAAAATTATTTCGTAATATACAGGGTTATGTTTCGAGTTTTTTGTTTAGTTAACAGCTGTATTAATGATAGCCTTGTTAAAAAATCTGTAGTTTTATTTCTTATTTTTAGATTATTTATAATTAACGTGTTGTTAAAGCTGTCAATTGGCAAACTTTCAGTATTTACCAATAATATCGTTTTATTATTAATAATCGAAAAACTCTATAACTGTAACATTTAGGTATAGGGAATGCTTAACAAAAGTAAAAGTATTTTGTAAGTAGTTTATGAAAATGATATAAAATACGGGGTGTTCCATTTGAAATAACCAAGAAAATCATGGTCGTGAGTTTTGGCTTACCCTGTATACACAATGACGAGTTGCAACAAAACTAGAGTACTGGCCTTGAAATATTAATCCTCAATTGTTGATTCTAAATAATACAGGATGACGATTTCATTAAGACTTTCACATAAAAGTGGCAATTTCTTTAAAAGTGCCCTGTAAAACCTGATATTGCTGGAATGGGGAAAATGAGCAAAATTCCAATTTGAGATTATATACAGTGTGTCTACTTTAGGTGGAACCATATGGAAAACATTTTTATTATTGATTTTAGGAAAAAAAGTTGTTCTTGATAAAAAATCCTGCATGACCCAAAACTTAAAATACAGTCATCAGATATCAAATTTTTCAAGCCGTATACGAGGTTTGTCAAAAAATATGAATTTTGCTCAAGAGTAAAGTAAGTTTATTTTTTTACAAAATCGAAAATTTTCATTAAGAAATTTGCTAAATTCTTCACAAGCATCAACAAAAGGAAAGTGCATCATGTTTATAGTAGCTAACGTAATTTATAACGTTTTCAGATATTTACAATCAATGTGTAGAGTGTAGAGTTTATAAAAAATAAGAAAATCTGTTTTTTCAGATAGATCGGTGTAATTGCACATTTGAATGTAATATTCAATTCTAATCAACTTTTCTTAATGAACATTTTCGATTTTGAGCAAAATTCATATTTTTTGACAAACCTCGTATACGGCTTGAAAAATTTGATATGTGATTACTGCATTTTAGGTTTTGAGTCATGCAGGACTTTTTATCAAGAATAACTTTTTTTCCTAAAATCAATAATAAAAAAGTTTTCCATATGGTTCCAACTTCCAACGAGGATATATCAGTATATAACTGGTGCTATAACTTCTTTCAGAGATAACATTTTATAACCCAAAAAATGAGACATGAAAGCCTTATATTTAATGTACTACCCCGCAAGTAGGCTTTGATTTAACTTTTGACATATGTTACAAATTAATTATTGAATTGTCAGTGTTTTGCGTACCCATCGAAAAATGAAAGTGGAGCAAAGATACGCGATACAATTTTGTGTTCGATTGGGTAAAACACCAACTGAAACTTTTGAAATGATTAAAGGTGCATATCTAGATAATAGTTTATCACGATGTAGAGTGTTTGAGTGGCATAAAAAGTTTAAAGACGGTTGTGAATCAGTTGAAGATGAACCTCGTCCCGGTCGACCACAAACTGCGAGAAATGACACAAAAATTGCAGAAATTAACGACTTGATACAAAATGATCGCCGGATTGGCATAAAACGAATTTCTGACAATGTTAATTTGTCTTACGGTACCACTCAAAAAAGTATTCATGAAGATTTAGAGTACCGGAAGATCGCGGCAAGATGGATTCCAAAAGTGATGACCGATGAACAAAAAGCGAATCGAGTGACAATTTGTCAGCAGTAGAAAAGGCAATTGCAACGTAACCCTCAGTTTTTAAATAATGTGGTTACATGTGACGAAAGTTGGTTTTATCATTACGATCCTGAATTGAAGTCTCAAAGTATGCAATGGAAGCATAAAGGCAGCCCAAGACCGCAGAAGGCCAAAACTACTAAAAGCGCTAGTAAAGTGATGCACCTGATTTTTTTTGATAAATTTGGCGTTATTTACGATCACATTGTACCTAGAGGACATACAGTAACAGGGGAGTACTATTCTAATGTACTTCGACCCTTAAAGGCAAAATTAAAGAAAAAAAGGCCGCTTTATCAGGACTTTGGCTGGACGCTGCATCACGACAATGCTCCGGCTCATAGAGCAATGATTTGTCAACGAACAATTGAAGAATTAGGGGTTGAAATTATGGTTCATCCCCCTACTCTCCTGACCTTGCTCCATGTGACTTCCATTTGTTTCCTGAAGTCAAAAAAAAAATTGAGAGGTAGAAGATTTGAGTCGGATTTAGAGCTCAACAACGCTGTGATGGGTATACTAAACAGACTATCAAAAAATGGTTTCTCAGAAGTTTATGATAAGTGGATAAAGCGATGGAATAAGTGTATTCAACATAATGGAGAGTACTTCGAAGGATAGTTGTTGAATTTTTTTAAATAAATGTTTCGTTGTTATACTATAGCACCAGTCTCGTTATTTTCTGATACATCCTCGTATAGGGTGTTTCACTAAAAACATAACTTTGGTATGATGTAACTTTATGAAACACCCTGTATATTACGAAATAATTTTAATATGTGTAACTGGACTTTAGCTATAATGTCTACTTAAAACTTTTGTTTGCATCCCTCAAAACAACGGAGATATCAAACTCCGGAGTATAAGTTGATCACCCTGTACCTTTAACACCCTATATCTCAGAAGTAAGTAACATTTGATACAGTTCTATTATTTAGCAAAATATTAATATTTTGAGATCAAAATATTTATCATTCCTTATGAAACACCATATATACAGGGTATTAGTATATTCGATTGACAATACTCTACCACATATAGGTCTCTTTAACTGATAAATTTTGATATAGGAACATAAACCTTTAAAGAGCGTGTTTACCGAGATACAGGGTGTTTAAAATCAAAATTCAAAATTTGTCATAAATCAGAAACGTCCTAATTTTCTTTTTTTCAAATTTGATCTACAAAAATGAAGTATTAAAAATTTGAAACGTACTAGATTAAAAATTTAGAAATAATGAGTCGTTAAAATCTAAGTACATGCAGACTTTTGTTTAAAAGCAAATTTCAAATACCGTTCATTTTAGCTGTATGAAATGTTTTTATTTTTTTTTTTAATTAAATATGATTAAAGAATTTAAAAATAAATGAAAAAAAAATGTGGCATAAAAAATAGGGGGAAAAATTGCCACTAACCTTGATGGCGCGCCACTGGTAAATTCTTCAAAAGTTAATTTATGTTAAAATATTACTTTCTTTAATAGCATATTGGTCATCAAATTTGAAAAAAAAATTATTAAAAGTGTTTTGGATTTATGGAAAATTTTGAATTTTGATTTCAAACTTTTAACACCCTGTATCTCGATAACTAAGCCCTTCAAGGGTCTACGTTCCTATATAAAAATTCATCACTTAACGAGAGTTATCTAAGTTATCTAGGGTAGAGCGATGTCGGTCGATTATACCAGTACTAATACCCTGTATATTAGACTGAGCCAAAAAAAAATTTTTTTTTTAAAATATATAGAGAATGTCATTCAGGATGACAAAAAAAACTTTCGTGAACATTTGAGCCCTTAATATTAATTTTAAGAGGCCTTTTAGGGGGTGGGTTGGCTCAGTGGTTAGAGAATTTAATTTTATATAAAAATAAGAGAAAATAAATTTTTTCACTTTAATGTTTTGACAGTTCTAACGTAAAACATCAAATTATGACTAAAAATCAAAAATAGCGATGATAGACCTCTTAAAATTAATATTCAGGGCTTAAATTTTTACAAATTTTTTTTGTCATCCTAAATGACATTCTCGATATATTTAAAAAAAAAATAGTCAATTTTTTTGGCCCAGTCTACTGTATAAGCTACAAATCTCTAAATGTTTCCTATTAATTTGATTAATTTTTTCTAGTTAGTACTATATATTTTATATGTATATGTACAAAAATTTTATCTTTGAATTAGCAGACATTAAGTGACCAAAAATATTAAAAATTTTATAAAATAAATCAACTTAAAATTTAAATATTTGAAAAATCTTACCTGCCGTAACATTAATATCGTGTCCATCTGTACTGATAACATGTATAGTATGATTATCGATCGTCATTTCAACTGGACAGTTCAAAAATCCTGCATTAATAATTCGGAACCTGTAGCGATAACCCTAAAACGCACACAATCATATTAAATCGACAATATCTTTGGGAATATCATTTAGTAAACATATCAAGCTTTTAACATCTCATTTATTAATGAATATTAAAAGATCCATTAACTAATGGGATAATGAAGCCTATATCTTTTAACTCTTAGTGTGAGTTGTACCAATCGGGTTCTAGATGAAAAATCCAATAGTTCATCTTTGAACTAAGTTTAAATTTGAATGATAAAACTCACCCTCATCAAGAGAAATATCAACTTAATAAAAAAACTGTCTACTTACTTGTTCAACTTTAAATCTGGCAGGCGGAGTATAAATAGATGCATTGCTCGCATTTAGAAATTCCTGAAACCTCCCCAATCCGTTTATTAATATCGTCGGTGGTTTATTATCACCATCGTTGTGGTGATGCGATAAGAAAACTTCTGTTCCTAATTGCGTCACCCAATCAATAATGGTCATAACATGTTCCGAGAGATCATAATCGTATAGATGTGAATGTGGGTCGTTTTCTTCTGGAACTTTAACTATTAAGGGACCGTATGCTCCATCAGCTCTTTGCATACCTAAAAAATAGTTATATGCATTTAAACAATAACGACATTAAAATATAATCTGATTTTTTATAGAAAAAAAAAATTATTTGTTGGAAATATATCCAACAGTTCATTAATATATCAAGCTAGCCCATCTCTGGATGCCAAACTGATCAATTAATTGCCAGTTAGATGTGGCAAAAGGACCATGGGTAGCCCAGGCAAACAGGTAAACAAACAGAGACATTCATAGAAATTTATAGAAATAATTCATTGATAGAAATTGACAGAAATTAATAGAAATTGATAGAAATTGATAGAAATTGATAGAAATTGATAGAAATTGATAGAAATTGATAGAAATTGATAAAAATTGATAAAAATTGATAAAAATTGATAAAAATTGATAAAAATTGATAAAAATTGATAGAGTTTGATAGAATTTGATAGAAATTGATAAAAATTGATAGAAATTGACAAATATTGATAGAAATTGATAAAAAATTGAGAGAAATTAATAGAAATTGATATACATCGATAGAAATTGATATAAATTAAAATAGATTAATAGAAATTGAAAAAAAAATAAAGACATTCATAGAAATTGAAAGAAATCGATAAAAAATTAAGAGAAATTTATAGTAAATTGATAAAAATTGACAGAAATTGGCAAAAATTGATATAAATTGATAAAAATTAACAGAAATTGGCAAAAATTGATATAAATTGATAGAAATACATAAAAATCGATAGAAATTGATACACATTGATAGAAATTGATAAAAATAGATAGACATTGACAAAAATTGATAGAAATTTGCAACAATTGATATAAATTGATAGAAATATTTAAAAATTAATATTCATTGATAGAAATTGATTGAAACTGACAGACATTGATAGAAATTGATACAAAATTGATAGAAATTAATATAAATTGATATAAATTGATAGAAATTAATAGAAATTGAAATTGATATAAATTGATATAAATTGATATAAATTGATATAAATTGATATAAATTGATATAAATTGATATAAATTGATATAAATTGATATAAATTGATATAAATTGATATAAATTGATATAAATTGATATAAATTGATATAAATTGATATAAATTGATATAAATTGATATAAATTGATATAAATTGATATAAATTGATATAAATTGATATAAATTGATATAAATTGATATAAATTGATATAAATTGATATAAATTGATATAAATTGATATAAATTGATATAAATTGATATAAATTGATATAAATTGATATAAATTGATATAAATTGATATAAATTGATATAAATTGATATAAATTGATATAAATTGATATAAATTGATATAAATTGATATAAATTGATATAAATTGATATAAATTGATATAAATTGATATAAATTGATATAAATTGATATAAATTGATATAAATTGATAGAAATTGAAAACAAATGAAAGACATTGATAGAAATCGATAAAAAATCAAGAGAAATTAATAGAAATTGATATACATTAAAAGAAATTTATAGTAAATTGATAGAAATTGATATACATTGATAAAATTGTTCAAAATTGATAGACATTATTGGAAATTGATAAAAAATTAAGAGAAATTAATAGAAATTGATATACGTTGATAGAAATTGATATACGTTGATAGAAATTGATATAAATTGAAATAAATTGATAAAAACTTTGATAGAAATCGATAAAAAATTAAGAAAAATTAATAGTAAATTGATAAAAATTGATATAAATTGATAGAAATTGATAAAAATTGATAGAAATTGACATAAATCGGCAAAAATTGATAGAAATACATAGAAATTGATATACATTGATAGAAATTGATATAGATTGATAAAAATTGATATAAATTGATATACATTGATAGAAATTGATATAGATTGTTAAAAATTGATATAAATTGATAAAAGTTGTAAAAATTGATAAGACATTGATAGAAATTGATAAAAGTTGATAGAAATTAATAGAAATTGATGTAAATTGATAAAAATTGATAAAAATTGATAAAATTGTTAAAAATTGATAAAAATTTATAAAAATTGATAAAAATTGATAAAAATTCCGTCATCTACAATGCAATAAGAGAGATCCTTCGAAACCGAATTTTATTCATCGATCTAATGATCGATAAAATCAACAAATCTACAAAACAGTGTCTACTACATCATAGTAAACTACAAAAAATGAATTGAACGTAGGGTTGTCACCTGTCCTTTTTTGAAGCAAAACATCCTTGTGACTTTTTAAAATTTAAAATGTCCTTTTTACGGCAAATGTCCTCTTTTTCTACGACAAATGTCGTTTTTCAGTTTGACTAACAGCGCACATATGTTGAGGACCTTTTTTTTTAGGCACTCGGTAAGACGAAGAGGAATATTTTTTTTTTTTTAGAAGCTTAATAGGATAAGCCGGATTTCTTTCGTTCAGCTCGACGAACTTTTTTTTTTTAGAAGTTGAAAAGGATGAGGACTTTTTGAAAAGGTGGCAACCCTAATTGAACGAGAATGCAGACTTTCGGTATGTAATAGATGTACAGTGTGTGTTTATCAACAAAATATAAAAAAAATAATTTGGTATAAATGTTAATTGGTAAATAAGTTCTGGCTTACCTATATGGGAATGGTAAAAATGTGTACCAGCTTGAGCTGCCTTAAAGGTGTACCTGAATGTAGAATGCGGAGTAATAGGACACTGAGTAATCAATGGAACACCGTCCATATAAGGAGTTTCTACCTGATGTTGTCCATGCCAATGAAGACTTGTTCCTTCGCTAGGCAATTTATTGTGAAGATCCACAACGATTATATCATTTTGACAAACCTATAATTATTTTTTTACAATTATTTTTTATCATACGAGATAAACGTCTTAACTAACCTCAATAGCCGGTCCTGGTAACTGTCTGTTAATAGTAACGATTCCTCTTTTGGTGCCATCTGCTGGTACGCAATCTTTTCTAAAACAGTCCGTGATATTTAGGGGACAATTGTAACAAGCTTTGCTCAAAGAGTGATAATTTTCGACTTCGAAATTGTATCTACAAATCATCGGAGGTGCTCCTAGTACGCAGTTACGTTTACAAGGATTGTTACTGTCAATGAGGACGTATTCTATGTGGTAATCTTCGGAGTCTGTTGAATTTTTATCGATTTCTGTGAAATGGAAATTAGTAAAATTATAGACAATAATTAAAAATCAATTAGATCGTTAAAGAACTAAAGAAAATGAAGTGAACGATAATTCATAACTATAATAGAAGTTTATATACTTAAATAAATAAAAGTTCTTTGCTTATATTGTTCATTTAGATTTTATTTTACTTTATGATTAACTTAACTATATTTTACAAAAAAATTAACATTTTTCGCAATAAAATTCAATTTACACATGAAGACCCTGTATTTCACCTTCATCCCATGATTTATTTTCTCGATTATCAAGATAACAACTTCCAATAAAATAAGAATTAAATTACTTTCCCATTCACAGCTAAGGAATAATTAAAAATTGACTGCTAATTAACTAAATTGAATTGAAAATTGAATATAATTTGCTTATTTTATTTTAAATTCTTTAGAATAATTAAAGACCTGAATTTATTATAACAAAGTTAGTCTTTCTACCTTGTATAATACTTTTGGTGTCCCATTTATTTATAATTTATTCCCTCTCTTTTTATAGTCTTGAAGTTACTTACCATTGTTTTCTCTATTAATGTAAACAATGTTTCCATTTACTTGGGCAATAATACTGCAAAGAAAAACTGTACAGGACAGTAACAGCAACATTTCCTGTAACAATAAGAAAACAGTATTAACCAGATGTCATTTTTTTGCAAAATGAGCTGCTATATTTAATGGAAGCAAGTTTGTCAGCAGGATGTCTCTTCTTCAAAATGCACAAATTCTGACAAACTACTTAAACACACTATACAAATGGATAAATTGGAAATATTCTTTGGCCTGAGCGTTCACCAGATCTGCCAGCACTCCTTTGTGGTTATTTGACGCCCTGCTAAAATATTCTTGTTCTCTTTTTTTAAGTTAGATTATTATTTATTTCAAATAGTCACTCTAAAAAATATATCCATTATTTTAAATCGTTCTGTAGAACAGGAAAAGAAGACATTTTCTGACTATCTAAAAATATACAAGATGTTCTATATGGAATAACTAAGTTACCTTAAATCTGAAAACTATCATGGATACGTACCCATTTCCAGTGTAACCAAAATTTATCCAAAAAATGAAAACTTGACATTGATATCTCAAATATCATTTAAATCAATTATAAGCTTTTAAAATGGTTCCAAATACAATCGGTAACCCTGTATTACGCAAGTTTTATATATCTAATTTATATTCTGATAAATATTTCTTTATTAATAGTGTGTTAAGCTATCCGGAAAATCCTAATTTAAAAAACATATAAAATAATAATGATTCGTAAATAATGCTAATAACGTTTTTATGAACGACATTCTTTTAATTGTTTATTGATTCGTGAATTAGACATCCTTTCGTTTTTTATGCTTTAAGGCGGATGGGTATACACGGATTTTACACTAGATCATTTAAAATCGAAACAAATAAAATTTTATATAGCAGGATATGTAATTGATTGAAGTATGAGTCGGTTTATTTGGTAAAGCAAATAAATTAAATTTACTGAAGCGTATCTACTTATAATATATACTTTTTCTATGAAATTTTGACCAAAAAAAAGTGTTTCCACTCATAGTGGGTTCCTACCAAATTTCAACAAAATATCAAAAGAAGTTTCAAAAAACTTTATTTTTTTTTACGCGAAAAGGATGCGTTGTACGAAAATACATCTAAGGACCAAATTTGCTCCAAAACAAATAAGAATTTTAAAAATAATTTTGGTTTTTAGAAAAAGCAGTGGCGTACCAGTTTTCTTCAAAAATATTCAGTTCAAACTCCTTACGGACGTCACTCAGTGGTAAAAATTAAAATTCTTTTACGACAAAAAGGCGGGATTAAAAGTGAAACTTTAGTCTGTTGGTACATAATATACAATATTTATTTTCCTATCTGTATACAGATATAAGAAAAGTATAGGAATCATGATTTTTTTCGACCTCGAGTTTTCGACAGATTTTTACGTTTTAAGGTGCCCCTGAATCAGTTTTGACTATTTTCGCGATGATGTCTGCGTGTCTGTGTGTACAGTATGTCGCTAATGTATGGAATAAATTCATTATAATGGAAGTAGTTGGTTTTTCGAAAAAATGCTCGGACAGGTCAATTTTGTTTACTCAAAGCGCAATTTTTTAAATACAATTCAATTTTCCCCCACCTCCCATTTTTGGGCAGTGACGTCATTGACAATTTTTTTAAATAGTACCCCCAATTTTTTTTTCTTGATTTTGTTAGATCTTGCAATTTCTTACTCGGAAACATAATATTTGAAATATCTTACATAACAATTTTTTTTGAATAAAAGTAATTTAAAGATCAGACACATAAATTTTATTTTATTTTGAGAACACAATAAATGAATAAAAGATAATTATTTGTTATTAAGTGCTTAATTAAACAAAATAATAATATTATTATTAATAATAATAATAATAAAAAAGAATTTGTGAAATTGTCATTAAATTCTTTTTATTATTATTATTTTTATTATTATTATTTTTATTATTATTATTTTAGATGAAGCACTTAATTACAAATAATCTTTTATTTATTTATTGTGTTTCAAAATAAAATAAAATTTATGTACCTGATCTTTAAATGACTTTTATTCAAAAAAAATTATTATGTCAGATATTTCAAATATTATGTTTCCGAGTAGAAAATTGCAAGATCTATTAAAATCAAGAAAAAAAAATTGGGGTTACTATTTAAAAAAATTGTCAATGACGTCACTGCCCAAAAATGGGAGGTGGGGGGAAAATTAAATTCTATTTAAAAAATTGCGCTTTGAGTAAACAAAATTGACCTGTCCGAGCATTTTTTCGAAAAACCAACTACTTCCATTATAATGAATTTATTCCATACATTAGCAACATACTGTATATCTGTGTGTGTGTCTGTATCCACCATAACTCATGAACGGATACACAGAAAAACACCAAATTTTAAACTTAAGCTTTGTTCCAGCGTCCAATGAACTGATTAGATTTTGGGCAGAGTCGGAATATCTGGGGGGGGGTACTTTATAGGTGGTCATTTTGATATTTTATGGAATATATCTGTTATTTATGTTTGGGAAAGAAAATTCTTCAAATAAAAGTTACTTCTTATATTATTATCTATAATTTTTGTTATATACAAAATTTTCCTAAAATGGTCCGTATTCGAGAAATTTGACAAAATGTAAAAAAATATTTTTTTATAAAAATTGTTCAAATAAAAGTTGTTTGTTATATAATTCTCTATAATTTTTATTCTATACATAATTTCTCTAAAATGGACCGTATTCGAGATATTTGAGAAAATGTGTAAATTTCGAATTTTGAAGAAAACTCAAAAACGGATAAAGAAAAAAATATTAAATTTTAAACTTGTTTTATTTCGGCGTGACGTGAAATGATTAGATTTTGGACAAAGGCCGTTTTTATATTTTATGGACTATATCTGTTATTTATGTTTAAAGAAGAAAATTGTTCAAATAAAAGTTACTTCTAATATTATTATCTATAATTTTTGTTTTATGTCAAAATTTCTTGAAATGGTCCGTATTCAAGAAATTTGACAAAATGTGCAAAATTCTGATTTTTATGAAAATTGTTAAACTAAAAGTTGTTTGCGATATCGATCTCTATAATTTTTGTTTATACATGATTTTTCTAAAATGGACCGTAATGGAAAAATTGTAGGAAAAGTGCTAAATTTAAATTTTTCAGTATTTTCGTTTTCAATAAGTATCTATAGAAAAATAAATTATTTTGTAATCACATAAATGTGATTTATCTTGCAGAATATTGTATGTTTTATAAAAAAAAGATTTACATTTTTTAACACTCGCAAACGTTTTATTTCAAATGTATTGACATGCACGTGTTAAAACGGTACAAAATACCTTAATCCGTCTATAGTTATCGATTTTAAACAAGATGGAAACCGGACATCGTCGAAGAGAAACAGAGAAATTAGTAAGTAATTTTAACTCGATTAAAAAGCGTTTTTTCTCTTATTTCCTTTATCATTCAAGCTCCAACAAATTTCAAAACACAAATAAACTTTCAGACTAAGTGTAAGCTTGTTATTTAGTAAAATACCAGGATCATGATTTTGTTCGTATTAAATCGAGTATATGCGTCAAAACGTGTCTGGAACTCATTATCTTGTGCACGCTTGAACTTGTGTTTTTTATACATCGTCGACCCCCAAAATCAATTTTTGTTTATATCGACCCCTGGGAAACCGATTTCGACCCCAAGGGGTCGGTATCGACCACTTTGGGAATCCCTGCTATACACTTTCAGCTAAAGTCTAAACGTCCCATACTTCGGTCTTGAATTTGTATTTCGTTTTCAGTAAGAGATTTCAAAATGGTCATAAAATACCAAAGGAAGTCGAAACAACATTTGAAGAAGAAAGTGTAATTAAAAATAATTATTTTTAAGAATTTTTAAATCTACAAAGTTTGGTTTACCTTATTTAAATAAATATTTGTGCATACTTCTTGGCACTTGAAAATGTCTATATTGTAACATTTATAAAATATTGATTTTATGAAAAAGTGCATATTTTTCTAATCAAATTAAACATAACTGAATAGTGCATCTGTGCCTACAGTAGTTCAACTAGTTTTTTACTGCTCCCTTGTACAAAAAAATAATTTCTCTTTGCACCAACAAGTATTTCATTTTGCCCCTATTTTGGTAAAAAATAATATGCATTTTCAAAAACCACATAAAACTTAGGGAAAAAAAAGATGAAGTAATTTTGGTTGTCGATTTACATAGACAAAAGAATAACAAACAAAGCTTTATTAAATATATACTTATCATTCAATTAGTCAAACCTTAATTATACCACTTTGCCCCGACTTCCCCTACATGTTTCTTTATCATCCAAAAATCTATTACGAAGCCTATAGCGGGTTTTGCATATGGGCTAATCATATCTAGATAGCATTTTAAAATCATTTATATTCCGAATAGTTTCATAATATCACGGAAGAATAATTGATTACGCACTTTTAACAAAACACCATTTGCAAGAAGTTAAAAATGTGCCGTCCATTATAAATCAGAGTGATTTTTCAAGTTTAGTATATTAGTATGTCAATGATACTAGTCCCGCATAAAATTAAGCAACCATATTTTCGAAACTTGATATTTTCTTCTAAATTCTGCAGACGCCATAAAATTGCTCAACACATTTACCAACAATATTTTTTATCTTAATTTGCATACCTACTTACCTATGTGAGTAGTTGTTCTAATTTTCAAATAAATATAAAGTTGTATATATTAGGTTCGTTCGTTGTTGGTGCAGTGTTCACCAGTGTCAATTACACCAATTTATTTACCTAGTTTATTTATTCCTTATACACATGATACATAAATAGCTGGTGCTGAAAATATCCACCATTGGACACCGCCTCGCCAAACAAAAAGTATAGTGTCCATTGGTGTAGTTCCTACACCAGTGAGACAAACGAAATGGATGAAAAAATAACGAAGGATGTAATGTATCAAATGTTTAAAAAATAACCGCTCAAAATGACAGTTTGAAGAGCCAAGTTGAGGGCATAAGTGAAGAATTAAAATCTTTTAAAACGGCTGTTCAGGAAAAATTGGATACTTTAGATA